GTTGATATGACGTCATGATACTGATAGCGCTACTACAAGACCTGTTTTGGGTACCAGCTGCACAAGACGGTTCCAACGTGCTGAAATGGTGCACATCTTGTACAACATTCTGGCCAGACCTCCACAAAATACTCAGAGACTATTTGCAATTTTAAAAGACATTGATCTTGAAATTTAACCATCATTTTACTTTCACAGGATCCCCCAGAAAGAACGTCGCCCCCATGACAGCTGGAAGTAATTCTAGAGAACGACGTCCCCTCTCCCAATAAAGTTTGTCCTTGGGTTTAGGGACATCATTTAGGGGTTGGTTATAATTAGTATACGGTTGAGGGTTGGGGGAGGAATTTTATAAGCACAGGAATCTTTAAAAAAAAAAAAAAAAAAAGGAGGGATAATTGGATTATGGGATAAATAGATTTGTATTTGTGAGTTATTGCTTTTAGACAAACATATTGGTATCGATTCTTATATATTGATACAAAGTTAAATTATGTTGACTATTTTATGCATGCATGCTTCATGCTTCTACCTCTGTTTAAAACATTTTTATGTATTTGTATATATATATTGTATTGATATATGTATATTTACCATATTGCATTGTACACTTCTACCTCTGATTAAGATACTTATATATTGTTTATGTATTGATATATATTTACCATATTGCAATGTATACTTGCACATTGTTTATATTTGGAGGTCTCATTGTCCTCATTTATTGCACATTTGTTTATTATCTCAGTCTTTAAGTTAGATAGATATTGAGAATTATATAGATCAACAGTCATCTAAGTTTGTCATTTATAATTAGACTAATCAGGTTCTTTAGATATATAGAGATTATATTCAGTATAGATAGATAATCTTCAACCTCTTCAAAGAGCTGTAGAAAATGGCCTTTAATCTAATTCAGAGTTCTATGGTAGGGAGACACAATCACTCCTGGCAACACTGATCTATGCCCGAGAGAATGTTGAGCACCAAAGACACTCCACCTGGAGCCTTTCTTCTTGGCAGAACTGGCCTTTGGGTAAAGAAATGCTCATACCTCAACTACTGACAGAGTTACAGAATATCCGTAAATGGATAAAACAAGACTGTCATATCCTGCCAAGACAGGGTAAGATAGTTTTGAAGTTTCTTGCCTTTGAAAATGGTATGTCAGTTACATCAGGCCTTAGCCAAAGTTGGTTGCTTCAACGCTGCAAATGTGACTTTGGGTGTTTGTCCAGGTAGCCAGTTGTCTCTGCGATTTGTTACATGTTCTGGAAGTTGTTTGATTGCACTTCCTAATTACTCAGATAACATTATTTCCCTTCTCAGATCTTCGATGGGATTGAAGATTATATAAATGTAGTTACTTTCCTTTCATGACTTGGCCAAGTTATTTGTTATACAAGACTTAAGCTAGTTAGAATAGGATATTTGTATTTATTGTATATAATTTCGTAGGTTTGTACTTATTGTATATAATTGCGTAGTAGGCTTAGAACTCTCTTACTTAAACAAAAGGGGGAGATGCTGTGGGAGTTCCTTCAGCTCCTTCAGCCAATCGCCGCTGAGTTACCAGCCCATTGGGGCGTGGTCTCTCCCTTTAAAAAAAGCAGCGGCTGTCCTCCACTCTCTTTTTGTCTTCCGGCTCCGTTTCCGGCCCCTGGACTCCTTTCCTGTTCGCGCGGAGGGGCTGTTGTCTGGGACGGTAATCTGTAAGTTTTTTCCCCTTTGAATAAATAACCATTCTATTAATCATAATTCCAAACTGGTGTGGGATTGTCTGTGACTTACGCCTTCACCCCATCTCACCCGTTTCCCCTCCTCCTCTTTCAAGCCGTGCTGCTGTGCAGTTTCTAACATGCTATCCTCTGTCTTTAGAGGACAGAGACAGCATCTTACACATCCCTGAAGAGAGTTCTTTCATAGTGTTTGGGACTCTATAGAAGCTCTTTTCCGTCTCCCCATCTTTCCATTCCCTATGGAGGGAGAAACAACACATTTTCATCAGTGGTGTAGCCACCAGCAAGTTGCCCATGCTCCTGTAATTAACCCTAATTAAACTCAGTGGTTCACAAAACAAGCAAACAAACAAACCAGGGCAATTTGTCTACCGGCTGCCCTTGGTTTTCCTCCTGGTAGTTTGCTGTGAATGGTTTTAAATCCATCAAGTTCTCTTAATTCATTACCATGTTCTGCTGCTGATACAGCCGTCTTTTCATTAGGAATATTTCTATTTGAAAAAGTTCCCACTCATTTTAAGAGACAAACTTAAATTTATAATAGGAACTTGCTTGAAATAACTTCATACCAAAGGGTTTAAATTAAAATAATTATGCTAGGATACCAAGTATCAGTTTCTTGGTGTATAATCTGTTGGGCATTAATATTAATTGATTAAAACCTATCTTGATTTGAAAATAACTTCTCTTAACATTTAATACAAATGAAGTAAGTTTGATTTAATTGTATTATTTCTACTGATTTTTTTCATTGCAATTATGCCTATAATCAGCCATGAAATATTTCAAGTAATACCAATGCTGACAATTCAGGGATGTCACTTTGAGAATCACTGATCTTATTTTTCTTTAAAGTTTCTCTTTCCACTAAAGCTGATTTTTCATCTCCAGAAATTTCACATATATTACGTCAGTGCAGCACCAGAGATTTTCATTTCTTTACTGCTAGCTTTTGTTTGTTTACTAAGAATAGGACAAAATCATTCCATTCCTCTTGAATGGCACGATCACAACCCCCAAACTTCTCTCTCTCTTCCAAAATAAGGACCACCTATGCTTCAAGCATTCCCAGCTCCACTCAGCTCTCTCATGACTCTGACTGCCGTTCCGCTACCATTCTAGTTCATGTTTATGTACTCTGTGACACTTCAAAAGTAACATTATAGAACGTTTGGTCAATAAACAAGAGGGCCATTGAAGCATGACCAGTCATGAGGACTCCAGCTTCATGAATGGGATTATGAGAGAGGCTGGAGGGACTCTATTTGCTCTGTCTGCTATGAGGAAACACATACAAGGTGATGAACTCTCAACAGACTCAGCTCTATTGGCTTCTTCATCTTGGACTTTCTAGTTCAGAACTGTGAAGGATGAGTTTCTGTGGTTCATAAATGACCAAGTTTAGGGCATTTTGCTTTAGCATCCCAAATGGCCTGACAATAGTCTCCCTACTTCCAGCCTCACCCTCTCAAATCTTTTCTCTACCTCAAACCAAGTCTGGTACTTACACACAGCCTATATCTTATACACAGAACCCTATGACAGTTTTCATCTCACTCAAAATAAAACTAAAGTCTATAATGGTTCCAAAGTCCTCAAGGCTCTTAAAGGACCTGTTACCCCAACATCTCTTAGTATTTGTTCAGATTTCACCTTCCCAGGAGAACCTATGTAGTCATTGCATTTCAAACCGTACCCATTACCTTCACGTTCATTATCCTTGTTAACTAGTCTATTGCATTCCCCATCTGCTAGAAATGAGTGTCATTGTTCATTGGTACACTCCTTGTGCTAGAACAGCCTGTGTTCTTGCAGATGACACCTCGTACCTATCTGTTGAATTAATGGTGTTTGAGTAAATGGATAATAGTCTGAAGTATGTGGTTATTGATTTTCAGGTTTGAATTAAAAGAGGAAGGGAACAGGAAGTTTCATGGGGAAATATAAGAAAGGAAGAGCGTAGCCTAGCCAGATAAACAGATGCCAGTAGAAAGAAAGAAACAGCTCTCCCGAGAATGTATCCAAATCATGAAGTGCAAGATGCAGGTGCATGAATGGTTACGCTAGCTTTTAACAAAATGATACGCTTTTCGGGTGTTACCCAGGAAACTGGAGATGACAGCTGTTCCTACATAAGGAAACTGAGTGATTAGGCAGCAAGGGTTAGCAAGAACTAGCATCTCAACGGACAACACTTCACTTTTGAATGTTGTGCCATGTGCAAACAATATCTGTTAATTTAAAATTTAAAATAAAATCCTAAGAAAAGAGCAGCATTCATGATTAGCAATTCCCAAATGAACACTCAATTGATTAGCCATGACTTGCATACTCTTCGAATAGGAAGACTTCATCCCAATACTTGACTATAAGACCCATCTGAACATACTTAAATGTCTAGGAAAGAAGTGGCTCGGGGGCTGGCAAGATGGCTCAGCAGGTGAGCATGCTTGTTGCCTCGCCTGAGTTCCTGAGTTCGATACCTGGGGTCCACATGGCAACAGGAGAGAAAAGACTCCTGCAAGTTGCCTGTGACTTCCACAAGCATGCACACACACACACACACACACACACACATATATATGTATATATATGTGTATATATATGTATATATATAGATATATATGTATATATATAGATATATATATGTATGTATATATATATATATGTGTGAAATAAGTACTCAGGAAGGGCAGTCAGCCACAGTGAAAGTTGTTCAGTGCCATCAAACACCAACTTGACCAATCTAACCACATCAGCTACTCCATCCACAAGGACATGGTTAGAGCATGAAACATGTCCCCCTCCACTGCCCCACAGACACACTACTCCCGGAGAAGCATCTTCCTGATGATTAAGGGTGCTCCAGGACAAAGAAGGGGGTCCTCCCTCGAATCTCCTTTTCTGACCATTTCCGTCACATCTGCCTAAGCAACGCCACGTGTATGTGGAGAAGCTGGAGTTCACCTTTCCATTGGTGACACTACCGCTTTTGTCTCTACATTTGCCTCATAGCTTCCGATAAATTCTACACGCACACACACACACACACACACACACACACACACACACACACACACACAAATATTTACTCACTAGTGGAGAGCAGAGGATAACGCTCAGGTTTAGGTTCTTACCTGCCATGTTGTGGGATCCAGGGATCCGACTCAGGTTGTGAGGCCATGCACAAGGGCTTCTACACACTGAAGCCACCTCAATGGACCAGTTTTCTTTTCTTTCTTTCTTTCTTTTTTTTTTTTCGCAGTTCAGCTCTTTTAATCAGCCAGCCAGTTTGCTAGCAACCAGGGATGGTTTCCGCTGAGGAAAGTCCTGTGGAGTGGGAATGTGGTCACCAGTGACCTCTGTCTTATCCGGGGCTGCAGCAGGAAGCTGCTTGTTCTTCATCTTTGCTTTCGCCATGTTGTAATCCCCAGAATCAAAATACTTTTGCCCTTTCTGCAATCGCTTCCTTAAGAAATCGGACCCGCCAGGCTTTTGTCCCAAGTGTGGGTACCTTGCTTTTAACTTTGCTTCTTCAGCTTTCTCTGGACTAGTTACTTTATCTTCCATTTCCTTCTGCTCCTCCGCCGACGCTGCCTCAGGGACTTCTGCGGACATGGTGCTCCTTCTATCCCCGTGCCTCCGGCCAACCAGTTTTCTTATACTACTTATTTACTGGGTCTTAGGTATAAGAAATGTCTTCCAGGAAAATTCCAAAGCATTGGTACTGATGATGCTTTCAGTGGTATTGATCTAATTAATCCTCTCTATTCAAATTCCTATAGCTTTTACATCAGTTTGACTATTCCTCCTTGCAGTAAGTAGATGAACACACTAGCCATCCATGAATTCTAAATGTTTTGTTTTCTGAGACATCCATTATGCATTTGAGAGTCCAATATGAGCCAGGAGTGGTGGCGCTCGCTTTTAATTCCAGCACTCGGGAGGCAGAGGCAGGCAGAGCTCTGTGATTTTGAGGCCAGCCTGGTCTACAAATCAAGTTCCAGGACAGCTAGAGCTGTTAAAAGAGAAATCCTATTAAAAAAAAAAAAACCCAAAAGATAGTCTAATAAGGTGCATTCATATGAGGTTGACATTCAGATTTACCATCTGTAAGGCTGTCAGCAGTCCCTAGCCTGTGGCAATCTGACCATTCTCTGACACCCCCCACTACTCTATATCTACCCTACCCACAATATAGGAGACAATAACAGAAAACCCAATTTTACCCAGAAGTCTGGAAAAAATAAATATGTCTAAAGGATCATGGGCTCTTATTAGCAAACCCCTTAAACAGTGGTATGATTTGGGCTCGAGTGTTTGAAGTCTCTAATGCAGTGTTTAGGGATGGGTCTTTGAATGGTTGGATTATATGAATGCTGACATAATTGATGAACTACTCCACTGATGGATTCAAAACTGAATGGATGCTGGAAAGTGGTGGAGACTATGACAGGTGAGTCCGACTGGAGACAGTGGGCCATCTTTGAAGGGTGTATGATGTCCTGGCCTCTCGGTATCTGTGTCTCTCCACTGTGATGAGGTGAGTCCACCACGTGCTGCCCACCATGATGCTCTCTTACCACACACATACACAGAGAAGCAAAAATGGAAATCTGGAGGCAAAAGACATCTTTCCCCCTTGTTTGTGCTATCACGGTGGTACAAGTGACTAACACATCATGCATACTTTTGGGTTTGAGGTAAAATTTCACAAGTGTGAGCAAATTGTTTCTGGTGTGCCTATATAGCAAAAGCGTCCAGACTCGGACTTATTTACTGATCACAAATGAGAGGTTATATACTTACAGAGGATCCCTCGCTGCCGCTTTAGAAGTGGATGCTGCCTGTTTAGAATTTGCATAGCATCATTAGACGTGCTGAGATTGATGTCACCCACCGGTGATTCCACTACTTAGGAATCTGAGGCTGGGAGTTAGGGCTAGCCTGGGCTATATATAGAGAAAGCCCATTTCAAAACCCAAAGGGCTGGGGATATGCTCAGTGGTAGACTACAAACCTAATGTGCAAGGCCCTGGAAAAGTAATGAAAAGTATCACATATATGTAATGGTTACACTAGAAACTAAATGATATTTGTGAGGGCTTGGGTGGGAATAAAAATGCTTTTATAAAAAACCTCTTTATTCCAATTTTTGGACCATGAGAATGCATCACCCTTTTAAATAAGCAAAGGCAGCTACATGGAGCCCTGTGCCTTGTGCAAAATGTAGGGTTTATCACATAGCATACAGACATGCTACGCTTTGTGTTTTCTTGGTACCACTAAATGGGATAGAACCAGATGCCCAGAGACAAGGGTTCCTAGAGTCAGGTGTATGATAACTACATTTTCTCGCTTCTAGATTCAATGTTTTGGCATTTTGGAGACACATTGACTTGGTCTGTCTCCCAAGGACTAGCTAGTTCTTAGAGATCCACAATAAGGACTCACCTACAGACTCACCAATCCAGAGCCATGCCCCAAGCCATCTTTCTCTACAGGCTTCCGTATACTGAGACTCTGTTCCCATGCCCTAGTCAGCCTGGGCCCAGATACCAAACAGCTATGAAGCCTGATCCTACTTAGTCTTATTTAACAAAAACTCAGAGTGAAACATTAGGGAGAAAACTGAAAGATCAGAGAAGCAGAGCAACAGCCACTAGACTTCTTACCTCTTTGAAATCTCAGACCTAATGGGGGGATCCTGTTTCTATGAATCTTCAGACTGAATGGGGGAGAGCCTGTCTCCACTAGCCTTATATTCCTGTCTCCACCTCCCTAATGCTGGAATTAAAGGTATGAGCCACCACCACCTGACTCTGTTTCTCTTTTAGACTGTCTCAATCTCAAGTAGGCCAGGGTGATTTTGAACTCCTGATCTTTCTGCTTCCTCCTTTCAAGTGCTGGGATCAAAGTTGTGTACCACCACTGCCTGGACTCTATGGTTAACTAGTGGCTAGTTCTGTCCTCTGATCTCCAGGCAAACTTTATTTGTCAGAACACAAACAAAATATTACACAACACAACTAGGGATGGCTGTGCCCCTGAAAGCATTAAATTGTCTACGCTGGCCCCTTCTCCTATGCCCTATCTGGTCCTCCCCTCAGAAACGATGCTGAAGTCTCTTGCTAGATGTACTGCTGGGTTTCCATATATGGCTCCCATGACATGTGCATTTCCACTGGGGATCTGCAAGAATAATAAACTATCCCTGAGTGACTGTTACCTCCTGATCTATTGGCCTGGTCTTGCCAGCACAAAATCTACATTTAAAAGTACAGTAAAAATATAATGCTGATATGTAAGCAGAACACTAGCCATATAGATACGAGACAATAGCAAAAAAAAAAAAAATCATTGCTGGAGATGTGACAGAATGTTCCCTTAAGTAAAAGCCAAGAATGTCACCTCTCCTCAGGAGAAAGTTAGGATACATGGTTCAGGGCAGGGTGGCCACCAATACCCCTACAAGAAAGTCTACGAAGTACTCTCTAGGTGAGAACTGCATGTTTATGATGAACCCATGGTCCACTGAATGACCAGGTGGTGAGCATGTTGCACATGCCTGGTCTACCAGGAGGGCATGGACTACAGAGTATGTGAATCGTGTGCAGTGGCCAGAGGGCACTTCCAGATGTTGACGATGATATTTTACATTTTTACTTTATGTAAGCCTCACAGGAGAAGACCCGCATTTATTTGCAAACAGAAAGGAAAGGATCCTTTGGCCTTTGAATAGCATGTGCCAGAGGGTCTTTTCCAAGTTAGTTGACTTAAGTAATTTTATTGGCCCCAAATCTTCAATTGTATACTACTTAGGAGATGCTTGTCCATTGTGAAGAACAGGCAGAACACAAGCTGAAGTAACAAAGGTGAATGCCTAGATCAGCATGGTCTTTTGGCTGCCAGAACAGTGTGAGGGATGTGGTCACCTGCGAAGCAAAGGGAGAAGCGGGTCTCTGGATGAAGCCATGACAGGTGTGTGCAGCTCACACGTGAACCCGCTCCTCTCTCAGTTCTCAGAACTGACCATTTAGAGGCTGTGTTGTATGATTTTGCTTTTTAGGGGGGTCCACCATGAGCTCCCAAATAAGTTACACACACGGACACTTCTTATTACTTATGAATGCCTGGACTTAGCTTGGTTTGCTTTCAGTCTGTTTTCCTTAACTTAAATTATCCCATCTACCTTTTCCCTCTGGGCTTTTATCTTTTTTACTTCTGTATATCTGATTTTCCTTCTTACTCCGTGGTTGGCTGTGCAGCTGGGTGACTGGACCCTGATATCCTCTTGCTGCTTCTCCTCCTCCTCCCAGGTTTCTCCTCCTATAGATTCTCTTTGACTACCAGTCCCATCTATCCTTTCTCCTCTTTATTAGACCATCAGGTGTTTTAAACAGACAAAGATTCACAACTTTATAGAGTTAAAAAACAAATGCAGCAGAAACAAAAGTGACACACCTTAAAACAATTTTCTACCACAAGGCTACAAGTTCATGATTCTCTTACTTGGCCAAGTTTCCTGTCCCTGTTTTATGCCCACACTCACCACTGGGATCTTTCCCCTAACAAGTCAGAGTTTTTCTCTGTATTGGAATCTATCTGACCATAGCAGCCCCCATAAACAGCAGTAGTGGCTTCCTGGGTGTTGGACAAGCTCTTTGTCTACCACAGATCCATCAGCCTATACCCTTCATGAGGATGCTGAGTGTCAGTAACCATACCATTACACTGTAAGGAATATCCATCTGCAATCCCAACACTCAGGAGTCCGAGGAAGGAAGATTCAGAATTCATGCCAGTCAGAACTTGCCTCAAAACAATCAACAACAAGCAACAAAACCTATTTGTTTGTATTTCACTTTTTCTCTTCCTGGGACGGGGGTAAAAGAAGAGAGTTGAGACAGAGTCTCATGTATCATACGGTGTCACTGAATTCCATATATAGCCAAAGAAGACCTTAAACTGGTCCTTCTGCTTCTATTTCCCTAAAGTAGAGATTGAAGACATAGTACCATGCCTGGTTTTATTAGTGTCGATGTTAATCACTAAGGAAAACTCTTTTTGTATTGATCTTAATTTGACAGTAAGACAACAAAGATAACTGGTCGACCCCAGTCAGTCCTTCAGTAGCCTATATGAAAAGCAGGATGCATTATAAGCTGAACACAGCTGGAAGGAAAAATTCACGGAAATACCATTTGTATTGTAGCTGGATCACCAGAGAAGCTTCCTGTGACTGCCAAAGAGGAAGACGGAGAAGGGGAAACCCCTAAGTCAAAATGAAAGCCACCCCAAGCTGTTTGTTCATTCTCTGGCTTGAATAGATCACTCCCCAGGGATAAAACACATTTCCTAAATACTAGTGTGTCAGGAAGAGTGAGTGCTAGGGTCAGGTCTCAGGGTGGATGTGGGGTGGGGGCTGGATGTCAGCATTTGCCTTCTTTCTTGTCCCTAGGCAAGGGACAAAATGAACCACATCTTTTTACACGAACAACCCTGCTCGATCAAAGTAGAACAATAGAGTTTATTTAATTAAAATAGATTAAAAACAGACTGTGTAAAAGAATTAGAATTTTCAATAATTTACTATTATTTACATTAGCAAGTGCTGGTCATTAGTAGACACAATGAGGAGGCGAGC